TTGGAAAACTTTAAGGAGAGTGGGCATTATGTCTTCTCTGTGTGTCTGATAAAATTCCGAGGTCAAAAGATTTAAATTTTTAACACAAAATGGTAACTAGTAAAAGAAACTCTGAGAGGATATTTTTCATAATTTAGAGTGGAGAAAGGTCTTTTTAAGTACAATATAAGAAATAATCCCAAGAAACATAAAAGGAGAAACCGGTCAATTAAACCATATGGACTTAAAAAATATATGATACGAGCCAACATAAATAAAGAAATAACAGAAATCACGGGAAAATATTTCTATTGCATAATACATACAGATGGCTGGTACACACACACACACACACACACACACTAGTATAAAACTTATTTTTCATAAGGCACAAACTTCCACTTTTAAGATGAGTGAGTAGAAGATGTAATCTACAGCATGGTGACTATAGTTAACAATATTGTACATTTGAATGTTGCTGAGAGAGTAGATCTTAAAAGTTGTCATCACAAGGAAAAAGTTTGTAACTATTTGTGTTGATGGATGTTAACTAAATTTATTGTGGTGATCATTTTGCAATCAATATATGCATACATCAAATGTGTATACACCTAAAATTAACGCAATGTTCTACATCAATTAGATCTCAAATTTTAAATTTGAGCTCCTTCTGATCAGTAAAAAGACCAATAAGTCACTAGAAACCTAGACCAAAAAATGTATACAAATAGTTCACTGCAAAGGAATAAAAGCAACTCAAACAAGTGAAAAAAGATCCTCAACTTTACTCACCCTGGGTGAAATCAAAGTAATGATACAAAGATATTATTCCTATAGTATCAACAGACATAAAAATGTCTTAAAAATACACTGTTGTTAAGAGCATGGGGAAGCAGGCACTCTTCAGATTGCTAGAAAGAAACTCTACAACTTGGTGAAACCTTACAGAAAAGTGTAGTTGACAGGCACTATCTATTCGCATTAGAAATGTACATACCATTTGCTCCAGTAATTTTACTTATATAGATAAATCTTAAAAGCATATTTGAACATCAGGAAAATTATACATACACAGTTATAAATTTCAATCTTTTTTGAAATAACAACAAAAAAGTGAAAAAGAGACCCCAAACAACTATTAACAGAAAACTAGTCAATAAATTTCAGCCATCAAAAAGAATGAAAAAAAATTTTTTTTACAGACATGAAACAAGTTTAAGTGAAAAAAGCAAGGTGTATATTGTATATGGTATCATATTTTTAAGGTAAAAAGTAATTAGATTTATATTTATAGGTTCGGGAATAAAATTTTAAAGTAGGATTCTAAATCTAACTCTCAAAATGTGAGTAGAAGTGGGCTAACTGAGCAGGTGAAGGCTATTTAAATCTTGTACATGCAAAGCAGTCTCCTGGGAGGTCACCTTTCAGCGCTTGGACTATTCTGCCAGGTGAGTGTGTGTACACCTCGGGCCTTGGGTTGTGCCAGGGAGTTCAGGCCAATGATGTGATGTGTGAGCACCTGCTTCTAATCACTTGGGGACCTCAGTTTGACTTCTGGGAGGGTCTAGAGACTGAAGTCACAGTCTGACATCCTACACTTAGACCTCAACCTCGAGTCCCTGAAGCCTGTGTCCCCAACACGCCAATTCTTCAACCCTGTCAGGATCTTCAGGTCATCAGCCTTCCCACCTACTGCTGGACCATCTGCAGCTCCCGTCTTCACGTCCTCCCCTGTGGTGGACTTTGAGGCTCAGCGCTAAACGGACAAAGTTTGTAACTATTTGTGTTGATGGATGTTAACTAAATTTATTGTGGTGATCATTTTGCAATCAATATATGCATACATCAAATGTGTATACACCTAAAATTAACGCAATGTTCTACATCAATTAGATCTCAAATTTTAAATTTGAGCTCCTTCTGATCAGTAAAAAGACCAATAAGTCACTAGAAACCTAGACCAAAAAATGTATACAAATAGTTCACTGCAAAGGAATAAAAGCAACTCAAACAAGTGAAAAAAGATCCTCAACTTTACTCACCCTGGGTGAAATCAAAGTAATGATACAAAGATATTATTCCTATAGTATCAACAGACATAAAAATGTCTTAAAAATACACTGTTGTTAAGAGCATGGGGAAGCAGGCACTCTTCAGATTGCTAGAAAGAAACTCTACAACTTGGTGAAACCTTACAGAAAAGTGTAGTTGACAGGCACTATCTATTCGCATTAGAAATGTACATACCATTTGCTCCAGTAATTTTACTTATATAGATAAATCTTAAAAGCATATTTGAACATCAGGAAAATTATACATACACAGTTATAAATTTCAATCTTTTTTGAAATAACAACAAAAAAGTGAAAAAGAGACCCCAAACAACTATTAACAGAAAACTAGTCAATAAATTTCAGCCATCAAAAAGAATGAAAAAAAATTTTTTTTACAGACATGAAACAAGTTTAAGTGAAAAAAGCAAGGTGTATATTGTATATGGTATCATATTTTTAAGGTAAAAAGTAATTAGATTTATATTTATAGGTTCGGGAATAAAATTTTAAAGTAGGATTCTAAATCTAACTCTCAAAATGTGAGTAGAAGTGGGCTAACTGAGCAGGTGAAGGCTATTTAAATCTTGTACATGCAAAGCAGTCTCCTGGGAGGTCACCTTTCAGCGCTTGGACTATTCTGCCAGGTGAGTGTGTGTACACCTCGGGCCTTGGGTTGTGCCAGGGAGTTCAGGCCAATGATGTGATGTGTGAGCACCTGCTTCTAATCACTTGGGGACCTCAGTTTGACTTCTGGGAGGGTCTAGAGACTGAAGTCACAGTCTGACATCCTACACTTAGACCTCAACCTCGAGTCCCTGAAGCCTGTGTCCTCAACACGCCAATTCTTCAACCCTGTCAGGATCTTCAGGTCATCAGCCTTCCCACCTACTGCTGGACCATCTGCAGCTCCCGTCTTCACGTCCTCCCCTGTGGTGGACTTTGAGGCTCAGCGCTAAACGGACAACCCGAACCCCTGCACCCTGCGCCCTTCTCACCGTTCTCGCGCGGCCAAAGCCCAGCTCTGCCCCTTCCAGACCCGCCCTCCGGGCCACGGCTCGGCCTTATTTGATATAATCACACACATGACGGTGCTCGTACCACCATAACCCCGTGGTCCCAGCTGGTGACCTGCTCCAGCGCCAAGAAGTCCGTCCCCCCGCTCAGGCCCGCGTCCCGCACGCACCGCCCACCGTCCACGCGCGGGGCCCTCGTGCGCCGGGGCCCCCACTTCACCGAGGGGGCCCGAAGCCGCCAGCCGGGAGCGTCCCACCAGCTGCGCGGGGACGTACACCCCGCGCCCCTCTCCCGTCCCCACCCCGGACCGCCCCGTCCCCGCCCGTCCGCGCCGGGCTGCGCCCCCCGGCGGCGCTTCCGTCTCCTGGAAGAGCGGCCTGACGGCGGCTCACTGCCTGTCCCGGGGCCGCCGGCACAGGCCGCGCCGCGGGCGCTGACTTCTGCCTCCCGCGCGTCCAGAGGCGAGTGGGCGCCAGCCTCCCTCGGCGCCGCCCGAGGGCTTCTGCCCGCGGCCACTACTGCGCACACGCAAGGCCGTTAAATTTATTATTAGCCATAGAACATTCAGCCCTCTGGGCATTCTCTCCAACCTACAGGGAAAACCAAAACTTCAATGTAACCTTCAGATCCAGAGTATTTAAGAAGCATGCCCTCCTTTGGATACCAGAGAAAAACTAACAGCCTGGACAGTCTGCTCTAAGATTACCCTGGGATCTCTGATCTTGGCACCCCCACCCCCATCTTAAGGAGAACAGTGTCTAATTTTAAGTCTGCCATCTGGAAGAAGTGTATTGTATTGTAGGATCTGAAGAATCAAAAGTTAGCATAAGTACAGCCATCTTAAGGCCTAAATACCACCCCCTAACCCAGAAGAAGGAAAATCATTAGAATCTTGAAAAACAAGTTATTCAACCTGTGTCAATTGTAGTGACCTTTAGTTAGCCAACCGTAAATCAGTTAATCATACACGCCTAGCTTATTTTGCTAGAACTACCCTAGACATTCCGAAGGTGATCTCATCTAATCAGACCCCAGGATGTGGCGCCAGCAAAAGATTTATGAGCCTATAGAAAAAAACCCTGTATTGTGATTATGGAAAATTTTACCCCTTTTGAAAATGCTATAAAACCTTCTGGCTTTGTGTGCTCGGGGTCCTCGTTGAGACCCGCTGCGGGCTGACTTGGACCCCAGCTAGTTGGCTTCTGAATAAATTCCTCTTGCTTGTTGCATCAAGAAACGTCTTTGGTGAGTGATTTGGGGTGGCGCCTTCCTCAGGGGAATCCAACAGTATCCCCACTCTGCTATGATCTCAGGACCACCTGGAATCCACTGTTTGGGGTTGCCATGGACACAGGGTTCTTACTCCAGTACTGACTCAGTAGGGGCATCAGGTGAAGACCTAGAGGTAGGTATCTGCGGACAAGGGGGTCCCATCCCCTCTATGCCTGCTAATGTTGCCCTCATCCTCATAGAGTGAGAAGAGTATAAGGTTTAGAGGGACAGCTGGAGGGCAGGGAGAGGAGGAAGGGTGGGGAGAAGAGGAAGGATGGGGTTCTTTGGGGCCCACAGACAGAAAGGTTTGCCTTAGGCTCAGCTGTGAGGAGCACTCTTTAAGTGCCTTTCTCCTCCTGGGGACCTCCCGGAATCCCCTCCCTCTTGGGTGGTTGGAGTCAGGGGCACTAGGCTGATGGAGGACCAAATAGCAGTGACAGTGTTGCTGCCCAGGAATTGGGCCTAGATTTGACTTGATGGTTGTTTAGGGCCCGGATGGGGAGGGGACGGTTAAAAATAAAAAGGGAAAGACGTTATCCTGAAAGGTAGCAGGAGAGAAACTGCCACCAGGATCCCTACTCAGGTTTACTCTCACTTAGAAAAAGTGTCTGAGTTACCACATCCTTCTGTGCCAAGCTATCCCTTTGCCCCAGCCCCTTCCAAGCGAAAATAAAGCCTTACCTGCAGGTGAGCGGATCCTGGCTGTGCAGAGCTCAGGGGACACCAGAAATCCATCTCTTCCTTGGCCTGTTCTGGTTCTCGGGCCTCCCTCTCTGGAGCAAAAATAGGCAGGAGCCTGGTAGCTTGAATTCCTACTCCCACTGAGCGTGTAAAGACTTGTAAAGACTTCACTTGTAAAGACTTGTAAAGACTTCACTTGTAAAGACTGTGCCCAAGTCCAAAATTCAAAATGAACATTTATATTCATTTTGGTCTATTTTGGAAAAAAAGTGTTGCCGGGCAGCTGTGTCTGGGAGGTCTCTCCCTGTGCACTAGGTGAAACTTCCACCTGGACTGGGGAGAGTTCTTGACCGTGAATGAGAGAGAATTCTCCAGCATGTCGGAAGAGCGCAGGTGAGGAAGGAATTCATCAGAGTCAGAGGAGAGAGGAGGGATAGAATGGCGGGGCCCTTGCCGGCAACTGAGGGCAGGACAGTGCAGGGGGTTGGGAGTAGGAGCCTGCTGAATTTCTCCATGTAGGGACATCTCCCTGGCCAGCTCCTGAAGCCAGGGTCACCTGGCATCCCCTGTCCGCTCAGATCTGCACAGGATGGGCACCAGCCCCCACCACCCCAGGATTCAGGGAGCCACAGAGCCCAGGATGGAGTGAGATTATATTCTTAAAACATCCCAAAGAAGGGAGATTTTCAGGGGGCTCCTGCAGCTGCAGTTCCATCAGGGTCACCCAGGCCCAAATCTGAGCTCTCAGCAGCCCCCCACCCCTCTGCCTACTTACCAGAAATAAAGTGGAGATGAGGTGAGACTTGGAAATAGAATGAAATAGAAAAGAAACAAAGACACTTATCACTGTAAAAGCGCAGAGAGACAAAACACAATTAAGTTGAACAGTGAGAAAGCTTTATTTAAACACCCACTTGAAGAGAGAAAAAGTGTGGATGTCCTCAGGAGGCACTGAAAGGTTGGGGGTTCCCGCTTTTAAGGATTTTTCAGGAATGTGACAAAGGGCCAGGGGTGTAGTTGTCAAGTGGTGTCAAGACGCTTAGGTGAGAGACACTATGCCTCCTCCTGTTACCAGTCCTCCAGCTAATTCTTAAAGTAATAAGAATATACTTAACACAAGAAGTTTATTGGTCCTGTTCCTCCCCAGGATAGTGACTTCCCTCTGGGAACATATCAGTCAAGACCATCTGCCTTGCCCCCAAGGCGGACTGAGTTATTGTCTGCTAAAGAAAATTTTAGGGATCTTACTTCCTTACTGGCTCTTAAAATGGAATCTAGCCTTAAGATGGAATCTCTCCTTTTCTTACTATACTGTTTATATCTCAGCTTGTTTGGAAAATTACTCATGATGCCTGTCTCCTGTCTCTGCCCTCCATCACAAGTATTTTTCTCTTACTTTTGTTTTTCTCTCCTTACTTAAAATAGGGGCTTGTGGCATGTTCCTGGCTGCCTCAGTGTAGACATGTTACACTTGCTAACTTGGCAATGTGCTTGGCAACACAGTCTTTTTATTCTCCAGTGACATCGTTTTCTTGGGTGATATAAATATTCTCTGTGAAGGATGGAAATATCATAAATTACTATGATGATATAAAATTGATTTGAAATGGGCTTTTTTTCATTCTGTCTGCATTTTGTGTAGCAAGTGAGCAATCTCTTAAAATGTCCTATACTTGACCTAAACTTAAAGTTTATTAAGTTTTATTTAAAATTTTAAGTTTTCATTAAATTTTACTGAACATTCAAAAAATGTTTCCCTTATTTCTTGAACTAAAATACTAAGGGCAAATACAGAATGTATGTTTCACAGGATTGATAAAATTCCACAATACTGTAGATTTTGTATTTGTGGATTCCAGAGTTTAGAATGCTGATCTATATCTAGTAAGTTCCATGTGTGACTTTCTTTCTAACTGGGGGATGTCATACATGTTTTAAAAACATTGAATATAAAATAATATGTGCTTGTCTTTTTCTTAGATTAATTCTAGATTAAATTGAGCCACAAAACAATACTATGCAGAGATTAAAAAAGAACCCTTATATCTCTGGTTCATGTGTCCAAAAAGAAATATGTAAGTAATAAGACTCAAATTTACTGAATTTAAAGCATAAATCACAGCCTTGGTTAATAGAATGAGGAATACATGGGTGCCTTCTTTCATAATAAATATAAGCTATATGCAAATGAAACTTGGCACAGTTTAAAGACTTTGTTGTAAGCCTACAACTTCCTTAAAAACACAATAGCTTCAGCAGTGTGCCAGTAATAACGTGCATGTACCAGTGATGGCCACTTGAAGCTTCTTCTCTAGGGGCAGCTGTTTGCCCTGATGGGGGATGCACTGCCCATGGGTAGGGCCATTTCCCAGAGACAGCTACTACAAGGGCTTCAGCTGTCCCATCTCGGAGCAACGACCTGAAATATTGTCCATTTCTGCAGTGAAGATCACAAACAGTGATTGGTGAGATTAGTGGTTTACAGAACAGTGTGATTGATATTAGAAATATGTGAATGTTTCAAGGCCTGTGAATAGGTTAAAATGCGTAATAGTAACTAACTCAAGGATTTTAGTGAGAATCAATTTAAGTAATATCATGAAGCATCAGGACAATGCCTGGCACTTAGTAAGTACCATTGAAACATTTGTTAGATGAAATATCACTTCTGTGATATTCTTTAACTTTGGGAAAATTTGTCATTATTTTTTAAATAGTGCCACTTCTACATTTTCTTTTTCCGTTTATTCTCAGATGACTATAATCCAGATATTACGGATCTGTTTTTATTGTCCATATCAACTGGCTTTTCTTTTGTATGTTCTCTCTCTTCTTTCCTTTTCTTCTTTTTTCTTTTCTGCAGAGTTTCTTGATCTCATCTTCCAACTCTAAACCAGTTTGCTCTCACATGGATCCAAACTACTATTATTCCACTAAGTATTTCAACTACACTTTTATACTTAAGATTTCCTCTTAGATATTTTTCTTATGATTTCCTACTCTCATTTCATGTTATTGACATCGTCTCTTATAACTTAAAGTGTATTTCTCATACTTATTTAAAATCTTGGTTAGTAGGTTCCAGTAGTTTTGCCTCAGATGGTCTGTTGTTCGGTTTGTTGTATTTCCTTCTCAGCAGTTGTGCTCCCCAGGTGTCTGATTGTTTTGACCTGTAGGCTCATGTTCTGTGGTCACTGGCCCTCTGGTAACTTTTATTAGGGAAGGACTTGAGGTTTGCTTATGACAACCTCAGCCTGTGGCTGTGGTCTTAGCATAATTATTAATAGAACATCCTTTTAACTTTGAAAATGTCCTGGCTTGGGGGAGGTATTATATAGATACCCTCAGTGGAAGCAAGGACCTGAGATATGTCTTTCTCAGATACATTTGACATGAGGGAAGGTAATGATCCTGGGGATAGAATCTCAAGCAACAACTCTGGTCAGGGTGTGTCGCCTGTGAGAGACTGTGCACAGCCAGCATTTAGGAGGTTGTCACCTAGGGGCTTTGGAGATGAGGAGGAGAGGAGTGAACACCCAAAGCTTGCTTTTCAGCCCTTGTCCTGTTTTCATCAGCCAACCTAATGCTGCTCTGATTTTGTCCTTACTACACTGGGTAATTGTTACTGGTTCCTACTGAGGAGTCAGTGATTGTCTCCAAGCAACTCAGAGGAAAGGCAAGAACAGAACTTAAAATTCTCCCTCCCACTGAGTCCCTCAGGACTGCCCCCAGCAGCCTTTTTCCTCCTTCTGTCCACCAGTTAAGGAATAGCTCACCCTGCTCTGTAGTCTCCCAGGGTTGTGTTGGCATTACTACTTGGAATTCATACTTCGGTTTGACTTCTGTAGTTTTGGGAACAAGACTATTTGTCATCTTGGATAGGAGCCCAAGATTTCCCAGGGAATTATGGTAGTGTATTTGATAAGAATCTTCAAGTGTTTTGAAATTTAAAATATGTATCAGTATACATTGTCACATACTGATTGTTTTTTGGCATAACTTCAGGTGAAGAGGGCAGGCTGCCTAAAAACCAGTAATATTTATAAAATAGTGAGTATTTAGCATGATTTCATGAAGTTGACGGATGGAAAATACTTTTTGCATGTGTCTTATTTTATGGATGAGTAAATTAAGTTGCAGTGAGATTAAATTACCCAAGCCAGTGGTGGTAGTGGCAAGTTGGATGTCTTAACTTTGGATAATATAACCAGATATCTTTTTTGAAATGAAGTCAGAGAAAAAGAAATTATTCCAAACGTATTCTCTGGTTTCAGTTTAGAAAAAATCCTTAAACATCATTTAGGCCAAGCTTGACCTATCTGCTTGTTTCTTCTCTAGGAAGTGGTCACCAAGGACTAGCCCTTGACATTGGAATAGTCATTGTGCTGGCATTTTCTTTCCTTTCTCCTGTGTCCCTTCATTACCTATTACCTGAATCCACACAATCTTCTGTCGATACATTCTTAGATCTCTTTCATGTTTCCCAAATCTATCCCAGAGCATGCCAATGGTTGACAAAATGGGGAAGAAGAAATGAGGTTTAATCGTGAATTCTGTGCCTCCTCCCTTCCTTCTCTTTCCAGGGGATTTATACACAGCCTGGAGGCTGTCTCAGAGGTCTGAATGCTATACTGTCTAGCTTCTGTCATGTTTCCTCATGATTTTATTTTTTAGGTCCTGAAATCCTGCCAGAAGAAAGAATCTGATTGTCTTCCCAGATGTCTCACTCTATTTTCTGTGTGTATTACTCCTTGGCAGAGTTATGGTCACTCCTTTAAGGTCCTCTGACAACAGTGAGAACAAGAGGTGAGTTGGCTTGCCTGATCTGATGGGAAGCATTGGGAGGGAGCATTGCTGGCAGTAGGTCACTATAAGAAAGTGTAAGCTTTGTAGGCAACTTTCATTTGGGATCTAGGGAGAAAAAGGAAAAGTTCATAAGAGGGAGACCTTACTCGTTGTCTGTTTGTAACCTTTAGTAACTACCAGCCAGAACTCTTAGGAAACTCTCATGATGTCTGTGTATGAGACTCTGCTAGATTGGGCCAGGAGAAGAGAGAATCCTATCTGGAGCCAGGAGAAGGCAGCGGTGGGCTGGGAGCAGTGGAGCTCTCAGCAGAAAAGAGTAGCTCATGGACCTCAGCTCTATCTCATGCCCTCTGACATTCTGCTGTCACCTAAAGCTGGTGTCCCCAATGTATCTGTGTCCTCATATTGGAAGGAGCCCCTATCTCAGGCCTGCAGTTACACTAACCTGAATAAGAAACAGAAAAGACATACATGATACAGGGAGAGTAAGAATATGATGCAGGGACTTGAAAATCAGGAAATTGGAAGAGGATGGAAGAATGTGTATCTACAAACAGAAGTTGAATTTTGGACTAAACTTGGCCTCAATACAGTTGTGCATAAGAGGTTTAGGAATAAGGAATTGTACTTCTCTTGCTTCATTAAGTTCTTTTGACAGGTCTAAGATCATCATTACAACTATATAAAGCCTGATTTTTAGGGGAAGCTGGAATACTGCTTCACAAATTCCAAATAATGTATAGATTGTTTTTTAGAGTTCAACCAGTTTGAAACTGCAGACTACTTGTAACTAATTTCAAACAAAATTGTAACTATGAAGTCACTTGAAGACTGGTCATATGTGTTTTGAATTTTTCAGGAATGCTGCAGATGAATTGATGTCAGTAATATAGGATGGAGCCGCCAATGCAAGGTGACATATACTAATTTCAATGAAATAATGTGTTACTCCCTGAAGTCACTTTGAGACTGATCATACGTTTTCAGTTTTTTAGGAATGCTGCAGATGAATTGACATCATCAATCGCTGATGGACCCGCCAATGCAAGGTGAGGTGTACTAATTTAAAGCAAAAATGTTTTACTCTCTAAAGTCACTTGGAGACTGATCAGACATGTTTTTAGTTTTAAAGGAATGTTGGAAATGAATTGACATCAGTAATCTCACATGAGTACACAAATTCAAGGTGAGGTATACTATTTTCAACAAAAAAGTATAACTCTCTGAAGTCACTTGGAGTATGATAATACATCTTTTGAATGTCTTAGGAACGCTGAAGATGAATTGACATCAGCAGTCCTGATGGTGCCGCCAGTGCAACGTGAGGTATACTAATCTCAAGCAAAAAACTGTAACCCTCTGAAGTAACTTGGAGTCTGACCATATGTGTTTTGAATTTTTAGGAATATTGCAGATGAATTGACATAAGTAATCTCTGATGGACCCGCCAGTGCAAGGTGAGGTATACTAATTTCAAGCAAAAATGTTTTACTCTCTTAGGTCCCTTGGAGACTGATCATACAAGTTTCAGTTTTTTAGGAATGTTGCAAATGAAAAGACATCAGTAATCTCGCATGAATCCACCAATGCAAGGTGAGGTATACTAATTTCAAGCAAAAAGTATACCTCCCTGAAGTCAAGTGGAATCTTATCATACACATGTTGAATTTTTTAGGAACGCTCCAGCTGAATTGACATCAGTAATCTCTCATGGAGCTGCCAATGCAAGGTGAGGTGTACTAATTTAAAGCAAAAAAAGTGTAACTCTCTGTAGTTACTTAACGTCTCACCATAAGTGTTTTGAAGTTTTTAGGAATGCTGCAGATGTATTGACATCAGTAATATCTGATGGAGCCACCAATGAAAGGTGAGATATAGGAGATATAGTAATTTGAAGCAAAAAAGTATAACTCTCTGAAGTCACATGAAGTCTGATAATACATGTTTTGAATTTTTTAGGAATGCTGCAGATGAATTGACATCAGTAGTCTCTGATGGAGCTGCCAATGCAAGGTGAGGTATGCTAATTGCAAACAAAAAAGTGTAACGGTCAGAAGTCACATGGAGACTGATCGTACATGCTTTGAATTTTTTAGGAATGGTTGAGATGAATAGACAATATTAATCTCTAATGGAGCCGCCAATGCAAGGTGATTATAATAATTTCAATGAAGTGATGTGTTACTCTCTGAAGTCACTTCGAGACTGATCATACATGTTTGCAGTTTTTTAGGAGTGCTGCAGATGAACTGACATCAGTAATCTCTGATGGAGCTGCCAACACAAGGTGAGGTATACTAATTTGAGGCAAAATATTGTAACTCTCTGAAGTCACTTGGAGTCTGATCATACAAGTTTATTATTTAATTTATTTATTTATTTATTTATTTTGTTGTCATTAATCTACAAGTACATGAAGAACATTATGTTTACTAGGGTCTCCCCTTCACCAAGTCCCCCTCACAAACCCCACTACAGTCACTGTCCATCAGCGTAGTAATATGCTGTTTAATCACTACTTGTCTTCTCTGTGTTGCACAGCTCTTCCCATGCCCCCCCCCCACACATTATACATGCTAATTGTAATACCCCCTTTCTTTTTCCTCACCCTTATCCCTCCCTTCCCTCCCATTCTCCCCAGTTTCTTTTTCCTTTGGTAACTGTTAGATCATTCTTAGGTTCTGTGATTCTGCTGCTGTTTTGTTCCTTCAGTCTTTCTTTGTTCCTATACTCGACGTATGAGTAAAATAATTTGGTGTTTGTCTTTCTCTGCCTGCTTATTTATACCCTCTAGCTCCATCCATGTTGTTGCAAATGGTAGGATTTGTTTTCTTCTTATGGATGAATAATATTCCATTGTGTATATGTACCACATCTTCTTTATCCATTCATCTACTGATGGACACTTAGGTTGCTTCCATTTCTTGGCTATTGTAAATAGTGGCTTTTGGATGTAGAGGTCTATAGATGTCTATTAGGTCCATCTGTTCTAGTGTGTTGTTCAGTGCCTCTGTGTCCTTACTTACTTTCTGTCTGGTAGATCTATCCCTTGGAGTGAATGGCGTGTTGAAGTCTCCTAAAATGAATGCATTGAGTTCTCTTTCCTCCTTTAGTTCTGTTAGTATTTGTTTCACATATGTTGATGCACCTGTGTTGGGTGCATAGATATTTATAATGGTCATATCCTCTTGTTGGACTGAGCCCTTTATCATTATGTAATGTCCTTCTTTATCTTTTTACTTTCTTTTTTTGAAGTCTATTTTGTCTGATACTACTGCAACACCTGCTTTTGTTGGCATGAAATATCTTTTTCCATCCCTTGGTTTTTAACCTGCACATGTCTTTGGGTTTGAGGTGAGTGTCTTGTAAGCAGCATAGGGATGGGTCTTGCTTTTTGATCCATTCTATTACTCTGTGTCTTTTTATTGGTGCATTCAGTCCATTTACATTTAGAGTGATTATTGAAAGATATGTACTTATAGCCATTGCAGGCTTTAGATTCGTAGTTACCAAAGGTTCAAGGTTATCTTCTTTAGTATCTTACTGTCTAACTTAACTTGCTTATTGAGCTATTTTAAACACTGTCTGGTTATTATTTATTTTTCTCTCTTCTTATTCCTTCTCCTCCATTTTTTATATGTTGGTTGTTTTATTCTGTGCTCTTTTGTGTTTCCTTTAACAGCTTTTGTGGGTAGTTGATTTTATTTTTTGCCTTTAGTTAGTATTTAGTTGATCTGCTTTCTTTGCTGTGATTTTATTTTCTCTTGTGACATCTATTTAGTCTTAGGAGTGCTCCCATCTGGAGCAGTCCCTCTAAAATACCCTGTAGAGGTGGTTTGTGGGAGGTAAATTCCCTCAACTTTTGCTTGTCTTGGAATTGTTTAATCTGTCCTTCATATTTAAATGATAATCGTGGTGGATACAGTATTCCTGGTTCAAGGCACTTCTGTTTCAATGCAATTAATATATCATGCCATTCCCTTCCAGGCTGTAATGTTTCTGTTGAGAAGTCTGATGATAGCCTGATGGGTTTTCCTTTGTAGGTGACCTTCTTTTCTATCTGTAGCTGCCTTTAAAACTTTGTCCTTGTCCTTGACCTTTGTCATTTTAATTATTATGTGTCTTGGTGTTGTCTTCCTTGGGTCCCTTCTGCTGGGGGTTCTGTGTATTTACATGGTCTGATCGATTATTTCCTTCCCCAGTTTGGGGAAGTTTTCAGCAATTAATCCTTCAAATACATGTTCTATCCCTTTTTATCTCTCTTCTACTTCTGGTACCCATATAATGTGGATATTGTTCCTTTTGGATTGGTCACACAGTTCTCTTAATATTGTTTCATTCCTGGAGATCCTTTTATCTCCCTCTGCATCAGCTTCTATGCATTTCTGTTCTCTGGTTTCTATTCCATCAATGACCTCTTGCATATTATCAATTCTGCTTATAAATCCTTTCAGAGATTGTTTCATTTCTGTAATTTCCTTCCAGACATCATCCCTTAGCTCTTGCATATTTCTCTGCAGCTCCATAAGCATGGTTATGAGCTTTATTTTTAATTATTTTTCAGGGATATTGGTGAGGTCTATCTCCTTCTCAGAGTTTGCCTCTGTGATCTTAGTCTGTATCAAATTCTTCTGCCTTTTCATGGAGGTAGAGCTATTTGAGGGGAACTGGCAGTGTGTTGCCTAAGAGAAAGTACCTTCTTGCTGGTTTGTGACCTTTGTCTCCGGGGAGAACAGCGAATCCTAGTGGCTTGTGCTGGGTAGCTGTGTGCAGGCAGAGTTTCTAATTCTTGCCCGGCCAGTATGGAGCTCCACGGTTGCTGTGGGTGTGGCCAGAAAAAATGCGTTATACTCTGAATTCTCTTGGAGTCTGATCATACATGTTTTAAATTTTTTAAGAGTGTTGCAAATGAATTGACTTCAGTAATCTCATATGAATCTGCCAATGCAAGGTGATGTATACCAATTTCAAGCCAAAAGTATACCTCCCTGAACTCACGTGCAGTCTGATCATACATGATTTGAATTTTTAAGGAATGCTGCAGAAGAATTGACATGAGTAATACCTTATGGAGCGGCCAATGCAAAGTGAGGCATACGAGTTTCAAGCAAAAATGTGTTACTCTCTGAAGTTACTTGGACGCTGATCATAGATGTTTTGACATTTTTAGGAATGCGGCAGATGAAGTTGACATCAGCAATTACTGATGATGCGGCCAGTGAAAGGTGAGGTATACTGCATTCAAACAAAAAGTGTAAATCTGTGTAGTCACTTGGAGTCTGACCATATGTGTTTAGAATTTTTTAGCTATACTGCAGATGAATTGACATGAGAGATCTCTGATGGACCCACCAGTGCAAGGTGAGATATAATAATTTCAAGCAAAAAAATATTTTACTCTCTCAAGTCTCTTGGAGACTGATCATACATGTTTTCAATTTTTTATGATTGCTGCAAATGAATTGACATCAGTAATCTCACATGTATCCACCAATGCAAGTTTAGCTATACTAATTTCAAGCAAAAAGTATACCTCCCTGAAGTCACTTGGAGTCTGATTATACATGATTTGAACTTTTTAGGAATGTTGCAGATAAATAATCTCGGGTGGAGCTGCCAATGGAAGGAGAGGTATACTAATTTCAAGCAAAAAAGTGTAACTCTCTGAAGTCACTTGGCGTCTGATGATATGTGTTTTGAATTTTTGAGGAATACTGTACATGAATTGACATGAGAAATCTCTGATGGACCCACCAGTGTAAGGTGAGGTATACTAATTTCAAGCAAAAAAATATTTTTCTCTCTGAAGTCTCTTGGAGTCTGATCATACATGTTTTCAATTTTTTAAGAATGTTGAAAATGAATTGACATCAGCAATCTCACATGAATCTGCCAATGCAAGGTTAGGTATACTAATTTCAGGCAAAAGAGTGTAACTCTGAAGTCACTTGGAGTGTGATCATACATGTTTTGAATTTTTTAGGAATGCTGCAGATGATTTGGCATCAGAAATATTTGATGGTGCCGCCAATGCAAGATGAGGCATGCAGGTTTCAAGAAAAATGCATTTATCTCTGAAGTCACTTGGAGACTGATCATACATGTTTTCAATTTTTTAGAAATATTGCAAATGAACTGACATCAGTAATCTCACATGAATCCGCCAATGCAAGGTTAGCTATACTAATTTCAAGTGAAAATGTGTAACTCTCTGAAGTCACTTGGAGTGTGATCATACATGTTTTGAATTTTTTAGGAATGCTGCAGATGATTTGACATGAGAATATTTTATGGTGCCGGCAATGCAACATGAGGCACATGAATTTCAAGCAAAAATGCGTTTATCTCTGAAGTCACTTGGAGACTGATCATACATGTTTTGACTTTTCTAGGAATGCTGCAGATGAATAGACATGGGTTATATTTTATGTAGCGGCCAATGCAAGTTGAAGCAGTTGAGTTTCAAGCAAAAATTTGTAAGGATTAGATGTCATTTGGAGACTAATCATACACGTTTTGAATTATTAAGAAATGCTGCAGATGAATTGAGATATCTAATCACTGATGGACCTGCCAGTGCAAGGTGAGTTGCTTCAATCAAAAACGGGTAACCCTCTGAAGGCACTTGTACTCTGCTCACACATGTTTTGACTTTGAAGGAATGCTGAAGATGAATGGACATCAGCAATCCCTGATGATGCAGCCAGTGTAAGGTGAGGTACACTACGTTGAAACAAAAAAGTGTAACACTCTGAAGGCACTTGGAGTCTGACCATATATGTTTTGGAATTTTTGGGGAATACTGCAGATGAGTTGACAAGAGAAATCTCTGATGGACCCACCAGTGCATGGTGAGGTATACTAATTTTAAGCAAAAACATGTTTTACTCTCTGAAGACTCTTGGATACTGATCATACATATTTTCAATTATTTAGGAATATTGCGAATGAATTGACACCAGTGACCTCATATGAATCTGCCAATGCAAGGTGATGTGTACTAATTTCAAGCCAAAAGTATACCTCGCTGAAGTCACTTGGAGTCTGATCATACATGATTTGAAATTTTTAGGAATGTTGCAGAGTAATTGACATCATTAATCTCTGATGGAGCTGCCAATGCAAGGTGATGTATACTAATTTCAAGAAAAAACGTGTAACACTCTGTGGTTACTTGAAATCTAATCTTACAAGTTTTGAGTTTTTTAGGAATGCTGTAGATGAACTGACATCAGTAATATATGATGGATCCGACCGTGCAAGGTGAGGGGTACTCATTTCAATCAAAAACGTGTAACTCTCTGAAGTCACTTGGAGTCTGATCATACATGTTTTGAATATTTTAGAAATGCTGCAGATGAACTGTCATAAGTAATACCTTCTGCAGCGGATAATTCTAGGCGAGTCATACGAGTTTCAAGCAAAAATGTTTCAAGCCTACTTGGAGGCTGATCATACATGTTTTGACTTTCTTAGGAATGCTGCAGATGAATTGACATCAGCAATCCCTGATGCTGCGGCACGATTAAGGTAAGGTATACTACTTTCAAACAAAAAAGTGTATATCTTTGAAGTCACTTGGATTTTGACCATAATTGTTTAGAATTCTTTAGGAATACTGCAGATGATTTGGCAAAAATCTCTGATGGACACAACAGTGCATGGTGAGGTATACTAATTTCAAGCAAAAATCATGTTTTACTCTCTGAACTCACTTGGAGACTGATCATACGTGTTTTCAATTATTTAGGAATATCGCAAATAAATTAGCATCAGTAATCTCATATGAATCTGCCACTGCAAGGTGAGGTATACTAATTTCAAGCCAAAAGTATACCTCCCTGAAGTCACCTGGAGTCTGACCATACATGGTTTGAATTTTTTAGGAATGTTGCAGAGAAATTTATATCATTAATCTCTGATGGAGCTGCCAATGCAAAGTGATGTATACTAATTTCAAGAAACAAAATGTAATACTCTGAAGTCTCTTGGAGTCTGATCATACAAGTTTTGTTTTTTAAGGAATGCAGCAGATGAACAGACATCAGTAATCTCTGATGGATCCTTCAGGGCAAGGTGAGGTGTTCTCATTTCAATCAAAAACGTGTAACTCTCTGATGTCACTTGGAGTCTGATTATACATATTATCAATTTTTTAGGAATGCTGCAGATGAATTATCATCAGTAATACCTTATGGAGCAGACAAAGCAAGGTGATGCATACAAGTTTCAATGAAAAATGTGTTTCTCTCTGAAGTTACTTAGAGGTTGATCATACTATTTTTTGACTTTTTTAGGAATGCTGCAGATGAACTGACATCATCACTCCATGATGATGCGGCCAGATTAAGGTAAGGTATACTACTTTCAAACAAAAAAGTGTAAATCTCTGAAGTCACTTGGAGTCTGACCGTGTTTTGAATTTTTTAGGAATACTGCAGATGAATTGGTAGAAATCTGTGATAGACCTAATAGTGCATGGTGAGGTATACTAACTTCAAGCAAAAACATGTTTTACTCTCTGAAGTCTCTTGTAGACTGACCATACATGTTTTCAATTATTTTGGACTATTGCGAATGAATTGACATGAGTGACCATATGAATCTGCCAACGCTAGGTGAGGTATACTAATTTCAAGCCAAAAGTATACCTCCCTGATGTCACTTGGAGTCTGATCATACATGATTTGAAATTTTTAGGAATATTGCAGAGAAATTGATATTATTAATCTCTGATGGAGCTTCCAATGCAAGGTTATGTATACTAATTTCAAGAAAAAAAGTGTAATACTCTGAAGTCACTTGGAGTCTGATCATACAAGTTTTGAGTTTTGAGGAATGCAGCAGATGAACGGACATCAGTAATCTCTGATGGATCCGCCAGGTCAAGGTGAGGTGTTCTCATTTCAATCAAAAACGTGTAACTCTCTGATGTCACTTGGAGTCTGATTATACATGTTATCAATTTTTTAGGAATGCTGCAAATGAATTGTCATCAGTAATACCTTATGGAGAGAACAATGCAAGGTGATGCGTACGACTTTCAAGCAAAAATGTGTTTCTCTCAGAAGTTACTTGGAGGTTGATCATAGTTGTTGACTTTTTTAGGAATGCTGCAGACGAACTGACATCAACAATCCCTAATGATGCGGCCAGATTAAGGTAAGGTACACTACTTTCAAACAAAAAATTGTAAATCTCTGAAGTCACTTGGAGTCTGACCATATATGTGTTTTGAATTTTTTAGGAATACTGCAGATGTGTTGACATGAGAAATCTCTGACGGACCCACCAGTGCAAGGTGAGGTATACTAATTTCAAGCAAAAAAAAATTTTACTCTGTGAAGTCTCTTGGAGACTGATCATACATGCCAACTTTTTAGGAACATTGCAAATGATTTGAGATCATTAGTCTCACATGAACCACCCAGTGCAAAGTTAGGTATACTAATTTCAAGTGAAAACCTATATTTCTCTGAAGTCACTTGGAGTGTGATCATTACATGTTTTGAATTTTTAAATAATGCTGCAGATGATTTGGCATCAGAAACATTTGATGTCGCCAGCAATGCAAGGTGAGGCACACGAGTTTCAAGCAAAAATGCATTTTTCTCTTACGTCACTTGGAGACTGATCATACATGTTTTGACTTTTTTAGGAATGCTGCAGATGATATTATGTGGTTTATATCTTATGGAGCAGCCAATGCAAGTTGAGGCAGTTGAGTTTCAAGCAAAAATTTGTAAAGTTTAGGTGTCATTTGGAGACTAATCTTACACGTTTTGAATTATTTGGGAGTGCTGTAAATGAATTAATATCTCTAATCTCTGATGGATCCGCCAGTGCATGGTGAGGTGTTTCAAGCAAAAACCTGTAACTCTCTTAAGTTACTTGGAGTCGGATTATATGTATTTTGAAACTTTTAGGAATGTGGCCATTGCATTAAGATTGGTAATCTCACATGAATCCGCCAATGCACGATGAGGTGTACAAATTTCAAGCAAACTGTGCACAACTCTAAATTCAAGTGGAGTCTTATCATACATGATTTGAATTTTTCAGGAATGTTGCAGATGTATTGAGGTCATTAATCTCAGAAGAAGCTGCCAAAGCAAGAAGAGGTATATCAATATCAAGCTAAAAAGTGTAACACTCTGAAGTCACTTGGAGTCTGATCATACAAGTTTTGAGTTTTTTACGAAAGCTGCAGATGAACTGACATCAGTAATCTATGATAGATCTGCCAGTACAAGGTGAGGGGTACTCATTTCAATCAAAAACATGTAACTCTCTGAAGTCACATGGAGTCTGATCATACATGTTTGAATTTTTTAGGAATGCTGCAGATGATTTAGCATCAGAAATATTTGATGGTGCCGGCAATGCAAGTTCAGGCACACGAGTTTCAAGCAAAAATGCGTTTATCTCTGAAGTCACTTGGAGACTGATCATACATGTGTTGACTTTTCTAGGAATGCTGCAGATGAATTGACATGGGTTATATCTCATGTAGCGGCCAATGCAAGTTGAGGCAGTTGAGTTTCAAGCAAAAATTTGTAAGGATTAGATGTCATTTGGAGACTAATCATACATGTTTTGAATTTTTAAGAAATTCTGCAGACAAATTGAGGTCTTTAATCTCGGATGGATCCGCGAGTGAAAGGTGAGGTGTTTCAGTCAAAAACGTGTAATGCTCTCAAGTCACTTGGAGTCTAATTATATATATTTTGAAATTTTTAGGAAAGTTGCAAATGTATTAAGATCGGTAATCTCACGTGAATCTGGCAATGCAATGTGAGGTCTACTAATTTCAAGCAAAAATTGCACCTCTCTGAATTCACGTGGAGTCTGATCATACATGAATTGAGTTTTTTAGGAATGTTGCAGACGTATTGAGATCATTAATCTCAGAAGAAGCTGCCAAATCAAGAAGTGGTATACCAATATCAAGCTAAAAATGGTAACTCTCTGAAGTCACTTGGAGTGGGATCATACATGTTTTGAATTTTTTAGGAATGCTACAGATGCTTTGTCATCCATAACATGTGATGGAGCCGCCAATGCAAGGTGAGACATACGAGGTTCAAGCAAAAATGTGTTACTCTCTGAAATAACTTGGAGACTGTTAATAAATGTTTTGACTTTCTTAGGAATGCTGAAGATGAATTCACATCAGCAATCCCTGATGATTCGGCCAGATCAAGGTAACGTATACTACTTTCAAACAAAAAAGTATAAATCTCTGAAGTCACTTGGGGTCTGACCATAATTGTTTTGAATTTTTTAGGAATACTGCAGGAGAATTGGAAGAAGTCTCTGAAGTACCCACCAGTGAATGGTGAGGTATACTAATTTCAAGCAAAAATCATGTTTTCTCTCTGAAGTCACTTGGAGACTGATAATAAATATTTTCAATTATTTAGGAATATTGCAAATGAATTGACATCAGTAATCTCATATGAATCTGCCAATGCAAGGTGATGTGTACTAATTTCAAGCCAAAAGTATACCTCCCTGAAGTCACTTGGAGTCTGATCATACATGATTTGAATTTTTCAGGAATGTTGCATAGAAATTGATATCATTAATCTCTGATGGAGCTGCCAATGCAAGGTCATGTATGCTAATTTCAAGAAAAAAGTGTAATACTCTGAAGTCACTTGGAGTCTGATCATACAAGTTTTGAGTTTTTGAGGAATACAGCAGATGAACTGACATCAGTAATCTCTGATGGATCCTCCAGGGCAAGGTGAGGTGTTCTCATTTCAATCAAAAACATGTAAATCTGATGTCACTTGGAGTCTGATTATACATGTTATCAATTTTTTAGGAATGCTGCAGATGAATTGTCGTCAGTAATACCTTATGGAGCGGTCAAGGCAAGGTGATGCATACGACTTTCAAGCAAAAATGTGTTTCTGAAGTTACTTGGAGGTTGATCATACTTGTTTTTGATATTTTTAGGAATGCTGCAGATGAACTGACTTCAGAAATCCCTGATTATGCGGCCAGATTAAGGTAAGGTATAATACTTTCAAACAAGAAAGTGTAAATCTCTGAAGTCACTTGGAGTCTGACCATAAGTGTTTGGAATTTTTTAGGAATACTGCAGATGAATTGGCAGAAATCTCTGATGGACGCACCAGTGCATGGTGAGGTATACTAATTACAAGCAAAAACATGTTTTACTCTCTGAAGTCACTTGGAGACTGATCATACATGTTTTCAATTATTTAGGAATGTTGCAAATAAATTGACTGGAGTGACCTCATATGAATCTGCCAATGCAATGGGATGTATACTAATTTCAAGCCAAAAGTATACCTCACTGAAGTCACTTGGATTCTGATCATACATGATTTGATTTTAGGAATGTTGCAGGTGAAGTGAGATAATTAATCTCTGATGGAGCTGCAAATGCAAGGTGATGTATACTAATTTCAAGAAAAAAATGTGTAACACTCTGTAGTCACCTGGAGTGTAATCTTACAAGTTTTGAGTTTTTTAGGAATGCTGTAGATGAACTGACATCAGTAATCTATGATGAATCTGCCCGTGCAAGGTGAGGTGTACTCATTTCAATCGAAAATGTGTAACTCTCTGAAGTCGCTTGGAGTCTCATCAGACATGTTTTGCATTTTTAAGAATGTTGCCGATGAATTGTCATCAGTAATCCCTTCTGCAGTGGATAATTCAAGGTGCATAATACGAGTTTCAAGCAAAAATGTACTTCTCTCTGAAGATACTTGGAGGCTGATCATACATGTTTTGACTTTCTTAGGAATGATGCAGATGAATTGACATCAGCAATCCTTGATGATGCAGCCAGAGCAAGGTAAAGTATACTACTTTCAAACAAAAAAGGGTAAATCTCTGAAGTCACTTGGAGTCTGAACATAAGTGTTTTGAATTTTTTAGTAATACTGCAGATGAATTGGCAGAAATATCTGATGGAACAACCAGTGCATGGTGAGGTATACTAATTTCAAGCAAAAATCATGTTTTACTCTCTGAAGTCACTTGGAAACTGAAGATACATGTTTTCAATTATTTAGGAATTATGCAAATGGATTGACATCAGTAATCTCATATGAATCTGCCAACACAAGGTGAGGTACACTAATTTTAAGCCAAAAGTATACCTCCCTGAAGTCACTTGGAGTCTGATCATACAAGTTTTGAGGTTTTTAGGAATCCTGCAGATGAACTTACATCAGTACTCTCTGATGGATCCGCCAGTGCAAGGTGAGGTGTACTCATTTCATTCAAAAATGTGTAACTCTCTGAAGTCACTTGGAGTCTGATCATACATGATTTGAATGTTTTAGGAATGTTGCAGAGAAATTGATATCATTAATCTCTGATGGAGCTGCCAATGCAAGGTGATGTATACTAATTTCAAGAAAAATGTGTAATACTCTGAAGTCACTTGAACTCTGATCATACACGTTTTGAGGAATGCAGCAGATGAATGGACATCAGTAATCTCTGATGGATCCGCCAGGTCAAGGTGAGGTATTCTCATTTCAATCAAAAACGTGTAACTCTCTGATGTCACTTGGAGTCTGATTATACATGTTATCAATTTTTTAGGAATGCTGCAGATGAATTGTCATCAGTAATACCTTATGGAGAGAACAATGCAAGGTGATGTGTATGACTTTGAAGCAAAAATGTGTTTCTCTCTGAAGTTACTTAGAGGTTGATCATTCTTTTTTTTTGACTTTTTAAGGAATGCTGCAGATGAACTGACATGAGCAATCCGAGTCAAGCAAAAGTGCGTTTTTCTCTGAAGTCACTTGGAGACTGATCACACATGTTATGAATATTTTAGGAATGTGGCAGATGATTTGACATCAGTAATCTGGAATGGAGCTGCAAATGCAAAGTGAAGTGTATGAGATTCAAGCAAAAAGTGTAACACTCTGACATCACCTGAAGTCTGATCACACATTCTTTGACTTTTTTAAAAATTAGGCAGATGAATCGTCATCAATAATCTCTGATGGAACCGCCAATACAAGGAGAGGTATACTGCTCTCAATCAAAATATTGTTACTCTCTGAAGTCACTTGGAGTCTGATGACACGTTCTTTGACTTTTCTACAAATTCAGCTGATGAATTGATATCAGTAATCTACAATGGAACTGCCAATACAAGTAGAGGTATACTATTTTCAAGCAAAAAAGTGTAATGCTCTGAAGTCACTTGGAGTCTCATCATGCATGTTTAGAATATTTTAGGAATGCTGCAGATGATTTAAAGTCAGTATTGTTTCATGTTGCCACCAATGCAAGGTGTGGCACACGATTTTCAAGTAAGAATGTATAACTCTCTGAAGTCATTTGGTGTCTGACCTTATGTGCTTTGAATTTTTTAGAAACCCTGGACATGAACTGATGTGAGAAATATCTCAAGGACCCATCAATTCAGTGTCAGGGTGACTAACTTCAACCAAATACATATTTTACTCTCTGAAGTCACTTGGAGACTGTTCATACATATTTTCAATTTTTCAGGAATGTTGGAAATGCATTAACATCTGTAATCTCACATGAATCCACCAATGCATTGTTAGATGTACTAATTTCAAGCAAATGGTGTACGTCCCTGAAATAACTTGGACCCCCATCACATATGATTTGAAAATTTTAGGAATGGTGCAGGAGAATTGAGGTAAAGAATCTCTCATGGACCTGCAATGCAAGGTGATTTATACTAATTTCAAGTAAAAAATTGTAACTCTTTGATGTCACTTGGGGTCTGATCATCCGTGTTTAGAATTTTTTAGGAACGCTACAGATGTAGTGACATCAGTAGTTTTTGATGGAGCCGCTAATTCAAAGTGAGTTCTAAGAGTTTCAAGCAAAACCTGTACTACTCTGAAGTCACTTGTAGTCTGATCACTCATTCTTTGACTTTTTTTAGAAATTTAGCAGATGAATCACATCAGTAATCTCTGATGGAGCCACCAATGCAAGGTGAGGTATACTTCCTTCAAACAAGAAAGTGTAACTCTCTGAAGTCACTTGGAGTCTGATCATACATGCTTTGAATATTTTAGGAATTATGCAGACTTCACTCAGGCGCTTAGCGTGCAGGCACACAGGAAAGACACAGAAACCACATTGAAATCTAAATTCGTTGTATGCCGGCATTTTTCTGACAGCCAGGCTTCCTCAGCAAGGCCTCACAATAATGGCCACACAAGCGAGCGCCCGTCACTCAGCAATAGAGAGCTCTATACAGTAGAGTTCACACAGGTGCTTAGTGTGCAGGCACACACAAAAGACTTGGAAAGAATGTTGCAAACTCAGTTTCAACATCCACTGCAACGGCTTCAACGGTTCCTTCCTTGAGCGGGCCATCCTGCACTGGTATCTTTCACTCACGTAAGCTGAATCCAAAGCTGACTTGCCTCCACTGCTGCCACTTCAAAGCATCTTGTTCTGCAACTTCCTGTGTGGCCAGTGCGAAGGCCTACTCGCAGCCCACTTACGTCTTTGAGGTAGAGGGCGTACAGAGAAGACCGCCTTCTACTGCAATGTTTACTGTTTTCCTTATCACACAGGGGCAAATTTTATGCAAGGCAAAAGCACTCTAGTATTCTCTCAAGGAGGGTCCACACAGTGCACGGTGGATTGTTTCCCAAGCAGAGATTGGCATAATTCTCTTCTGCAGCAGTTTCTGACACTTTACTACAAAGGCATCTTCAGGGAATTGCTTTTACTCACCAGGACCCTCCGGTTATGTGCGTCCTCTTCTAGCAGCCCCTGGAAACCAGGACCTCCGGGATGATTCCAAACCTGTGGAGAAAACAGCCAAGCACGAAAGGCCTTCTTCAGTGTGCTTGAATGCAGAAGTCTTAGGACTGCTCTTAAGCATTTAGCTATTGAATCGCAGCAAGCGATGGTTTCTCCCTGCAGATCACAAAAGAGAGAGAGCTGTGCTGCACATGGTTCATTCTCGGGCTGATAGAGTTCTGGCCCAGAGAAGAGCTTTGTTCTGATGAAAGGATGATCAGCTGAAGGAGTCCCAACAGCATCTTCCTTTTAACTAGTTGCAAGTCCTATTCACAGCACACGTATCTCTTGGACTTAAGCTGGATTCAGAGAGGACACCATGCACACCTACGTTTGGCGATTCCACTCTGTATGAGGTAGGAGAAAATAAATGAAAGTGATGACTGTGAAGTTACACCTCAGTTACCCCACAACAATTCCCATTGCAGGTTTGAATTAAGCTTCACTAGCCATAAAGAGAAGCTTACTTGACACAGGCTCCACATGCTGCCTGCTTTTCGCCTGTGGAACAGAACCTTCAAACGTCCTGCTTCCAATGAATGCTGTACAGAAAGAAACTTCCCCTGCCTCTTCTCCTGAGGCTGGGCAGAAGACCTGTTCATAGTATCCTTGTGTCTGGGAGTATAAGTGTATATAAGAAGCTCGCACGCCTTGACACAGCAGTGTTTAGCTGCCAGTCCGGATATGGCTGAGCAGGAAATCACTTGAACTGAGACAGCCTCAGATCGTTCTCTGCAGGACCACAGCCCTGAGGCTTAGGGCCCATACGCCACCAGGCTTTGGAGAAGCTTGCACACACCTCTCGCTGACATGATGGTTGGGGACTGAAGCCAATGGGCACTTAGTTTTCAAAGCTCAGACTGTGGCATGGGAGACCGGCTTACATACCCCACAGACCAACCTGGGCCTCTCTGAAGCAGCCACGTAGTAGCAGACGAAAGCGACTTTTAGCACTGCCAAGCTGAATTCGTTGTATGCGAGCATTTTTCTGAGAGCAAGGTTCAGCCTCAGCAAGGCCTCCGGTTAATGGCCAACCAAGTGAGCGCACGTCACTCAGCGAAAGAGAGATCTACACAGCAGACTTCACTCAGGAGCATAGAGTGCAGGCACACAGGACAGACACGGAAAGCACATTGCAGGCTGAATTCGTTGTATGCGGGCATTTTTCGGACAGGCTTCCTCAGCAAGGCCTCACATTAAATTAGGTCACCAAAGCGAGCGCCCGCCACTCAGCGAAAGAGAGCTCTACACAGCAGACTTCACTCAGGCGCTTTGAGTGCAGGCACACAGGACAGACACGGAAAGCACATTGCAAGCTGAATTCGTTGTATGCGGGCATTTTTCCGACAGTCTCAGCCTCAGCAAGGCCTCACGTTAATGGCCACCCAAGCGAGCGCTCGCCGCTCAGCAAAAGAGAGCTCTACACAGCAGACTTCACTCGGGCGCTTAGAGTGCAGGTAGACATGACAGACTTGGAAAGCACATTGTAAGCTCAGTTTCAGCCCCCACTGCAACGGCTTCAATGATTCCTTGAATGGGACATCCTACACTGGTTTCTTTCACTCACATAAGCTGAATCCAAAGCTGACTTGCCTCCACTGCTGTTATTTCAAAGCATCTTGTTCTGCAACTTCCTGTGTGGCTAGTGCGAAGGCCTACTCGCAGCCCACTTACACCTTAGAGATAGTGGGCATACAGAGAAGACTGCCTTCTGATGCAATGTATACTGTTTTCCTTACCACATAGGAGCAAAGTGCAGGCAAGGCGAAAGCAGCCAAGTATTCTCTCATGGAGGGTCCCCTCATTTCACGGTGGATAGTTTCCCCAGCAGAGTCTGGCATGAGGCTCTCCTGCAGCAGTTTCTGACACGTTCCGACAAAGGCATCTTCAGGGCCTTGCTATTAAAGGGATGAGCTGGCTCTTTCTGCCCTCAGGGGACAAGGCCCGCCTGGAGGATTACAAACCTGTGGAGAAAACGGACAAGCATGAGAGGCTGTCTTCTGTGCACTTGAATGCAGAAGTCCCTCAACACACAGCACATCACACCGAGAACATAACTGCACACAATGCACATGAAACACAGTTCTCAGAGTGAACACAACACACACAGTGAGGCACATAACCAAGCTTGACCATACCCAGTACACACACCACAAATTGCACTCATTACTCAAAGAGTCAACCACACACACACACAACCAGTCAAACACAACCACAGACATAGAAACCCACACGCAAAACACACAAACCACAACAAAAAGAACACCCAATTTATGCAACACACATTTCACACATTACACACATCACTCCAATCCCTAACCCGTTCCATAACCCGTTCCCTAACCCGTTCCCTTACCCTAACCCGTTCCCTTATCTTAACCCGTTCCCTAACCCTAACCCGTTCCCTAACCCTAACCCGTTCCCTAACCCTAACCCGGACCCTTTCCCTAACCCGTTCCCTAACCCTAACCCGTACCCTAACCCTAACCCCAAGCCCAAGCCCAAGCCCAACCCTAATCCTAACCCGTTCCCTAACCCGTTCCCTAACCCTAACCCGTTCCCCAACCCATTCCCTAACCCGTTCCCTATCCCATTCCCTAAGCCATTTCCTAACCCATTCCCCACCCCTTTCCCTACCCCGTTCCCATACCCTATCCATAGTTCTAACCCCTTCTCTTCCTATTGTCTGATTTCAAACAAAACCCCTATGATTGAACCTACTCTTCACTGTGTTCTAATCCTCCATCTCTTAAATATTAGGCATTATTTGAATCCTAAATATCTACATTATAAAATCCCAAAGCTCTGAACACTTAAATTTCAAATGTAAGCTTCTAAATTAACTAAGCGACGTTACAAGAAAAAAGAACATTACGCAAACATGTTTTCTTTGTATACATTAGCAATGAACACTCACAAAAGGAATTTTTTAATTCTCTACTAAATAATATCAACATTAATAAAATACTTGGAAACAGACTTAATTAAAGTGCAAGTATTATACACTGAAAATTATAAAACAGTGATATTAGGAAAAATAAAGAAGAGCTAAATAAATGTAAGGTCCTGCTGTGGTGATGGCAGACTTAGTATCTCTAAGATGGCAATGGCACAAATGCAACCTACAGACTCAATGTGGTTCCTATGAAAATTCCCAAAGCGTTTTGGTAAGAAATGTGCCAGCTGATCCTGTCACATATGAAATTGCAAGGGACCCCAATGAGCCCTTGTAAGGAATCTTGAAAAAGAAAATCAAAGCTGGAGGCACAGGTTTCCCAAAATCAAATCTTAGTACAAAGTTAACAGTAAATGAAACACCGTGACACTGTCATAAAGATACACAGTTGACCCTTGGTAGTAGGCATGTTAACTCCACAGGTCCACTTAAACAGATTTTTCCCCACAAATATATTGGAAAAATGTTAAGTCAACAATTTGAAACATTTCCTTTTCTCTAGTTTACTTTTCTGTAAGAATACAGCAAATAATATGTATAATGTACAAAATATTGTTAATCGAGTATTTATATTATTGGTAAGTCTTCCAGTCAAAATAGGCAATCAGTTTTAGGACAACAAAGTTTTGGCAGAGTCAAATGTTTTATGTATATTGGGACTCTGCGGGGTGTCAACAACACTAGCCACCATGTTGTTCAAGGGTCAACTGTATATACAGATCAACGTACCTGAATGGAAAGTCCAGAAATGGCCCTAACCACCAATGGCCAGTTGATATCTGACAAGGGTGGACAACATTAAATTATGGAGAAAAAGTGTCTTTCCAGTAAATGGTGCTTGGCAACCAGCTGTCCACATGCCGAAGAATGAAAATGAACCCTAACTCATATCACATACAAAAATTAACTCAAAATACATAAGGGCATATGTGTAATATGTAAAACATGGGGATAAATGTTCATGACCTTGGATTTAGCTATGGTTTCTCAGAGGTGAAACCAAAGTATGAGCAACCAGAAAAAGAATAAATTAATTTCCTCCAAATTAAAATCTTTTCTGCATCAAAAGATACCAAGAAGTGAAAAGTCAGTCACAGAAAAGAAAATATCTGCACATTGTACATCTGACAAGAGCCTGTTATCCAGAATACACCACGAACTTGTACAGTGCAACAAGACAACATCCCAATTTTTTAAATGGATGAGAGACTCCAAGACATACAAATGCTCAACAAGCACATGGAAAGGTGTCACATAGAATTCCCTGCGCATACATGGGAATGGCTATAATCAGGAAAACTGAAAATCACATGTTGCCAAGGATGCAGAGGAATTGGAGCCCCTAACCTTTGCTTGTGGAAATGTAAAATGTGCAGTCTGTGTACAACAGCTTGGCATTTCCTCATAATATATAATACAATTACCTAATTGTGAGTAAACACACACTCCTAGATAATACCCCAAAGAAATGACAATGATGTTCAAACAGAAACTGGCCCACAAGTTCTTGGCAGCATTGTTCACGACAGCAAAAAGTCAGGAACAACTCAAATGCCCATCAAGGAATGAATGGATGGATAAAACTGGGTGGATCCATAAACTGCATTTTTCTGCCATATAAAGAAACAAAGGAAAATGGTCCACAGCCTTCTTGAAAACAGTATGGGGAGGGGGGAGGGCGTCCCCAGAAACTTGAACATACAGTTAATGTATGAGCAGCAATTCCATTTCAGGGCATCTGCCCAAACCACATGAAAGCAGGGACTTGGATATTTGGACACCCATGTTCACAACTGCATGACTCACAATGGTTAAAAGGTGGAAAAGACCCACGTGTCCACAGACAAATGGATGAACAAAGTGTGGTCTCCACATAGTGAACAAGGGAGTCCTGGCACCTGCTGCATGGATGGACCCTAAAGCCATTTTGCTCAGGGAAATGCACCAGTCACAGAAGGACGAATACTATGTGATCCCACTTATGTGAGATCTGGTGGAGCCCATCTGAGCTAAAGTCTCTGGAACAGTTCCAGAAAAAGGAAATGGGATCAGAATGGAAAGACATTTGCACACAGCTGGGGTAGGTGGAAACAGCTGTGTGGGGTCTACACACTGCATTATCATGTGGAGACCCTAATACTTCCCTCATTTAGGGTCAGGTGGTGGCTCCCTATTTGGGGTAGAGGCCAAGAGAATTTTGTGTGAAGTGGTGGGTGTGGTAAAGTGGGACCATGGGGCATTTAGTGTAAAGAGTGTTTGTACAGACACTGCAAGTTTTCTGTGTGCTTGAAATTGATGTAAAATAAATTACTTTGCAGAACAACCATGTCAGTCCTGCACCAGAAAAGCAGAGCAGACATCAAACCCAGTCACAGAGGCCAAGCCCTCCCCATTCGGTTCACCCAAAGTGGACTGCTACTCAGCCTTGAGTCACTACAAGACACGTGGTAAAATTCCCTTGCAGACACTGGGTGTAGTTGTTGGGACAACCTGGAGTGGAACAGTGGGATTTTTTAATCCAATATCCACACCACTCCACCAAAAACCTGTTACAGCTAAAAATAAAATCAATAATCTTACAGGATACAAAATCAATATACAGAAGTTGTTTGCTTCTGTTCACCAATAACCATCAGAAAGAGAGATTAAGAAAACAATGCCCTTTACAACTGCATCATAAAGAATAAAGTACCTAAGGACAAGCCTAACCAATGAGGTGGGAGGCTTGAGGCCTGAGCTCTGAACACTGTGGACACTGAAGACCTGGACGGAAGGAGTGAGGTTATTACAAGTCCCGTCCACCCACAGCAACCTGCAGATTCCGTGGGACCCCCCACCGAAATTCCACCACACTTCACACAGAAGCAAACACCCAACAGGCTGAATGGAACTGCACAGGACCCCCATCCCCACAGCCGTCCTGAGAAAGTACAGCCCAGGCATCATGTCCTGACCTCCCACTACACTGTGGACCTGTAGCAACCAAGACCCCATGTGGCGCCAAAGCAGAAGCAGGTGTGGAAACAGGACACCTGGTGCCCTTCATCCCCCAACCTGCTCGGCCTGAAGAACCGGCTCAACGAGGCCCCCAGCACAGCCCACGGGTGGGGGCCACCCTCAGAGAGCCAGGCTGGGTCAGTGCCATTCTGTGCCAGGAGGGGGCCTCCCAGGCAGATCCCACCTTGGAGAACCTACCAGGAAACTGACTCATATGCTGGGCGCACAGCAAGGGCTGCAGCCCAGGTAAGTGGGCTGTTTAAGCAGCCAATTCCCCTCCATCCCCATTCCCATCTCAGAACCTCATTAGGAAGGACACCTGCAGCCTGGAGGGTGCCCCACAGGTGTGGCCAGTCCACCCACTGCAGAGGGCCTGAGGTGCACAGCACGGGGACACAGGCTCCCAGGGAAGCGTTGGACGCCACACACCTGCCCGGGCCCTTTCTCAGCCCAGGCCCGAACTTGCCCTGAGTGCTGCCCGCCGCACCCTCAACTCAGCCGCACCCTTCTCGGCCCAGACTCCGCAAAGACCCCGTTCCCCATCGCAGGCCTTCCTCCCCTGGCCCCTGAAGAGGAGCGCTCAGCAGGCGATGCACGGAAAGCCTCTCCTTACCTTTCCCTACTGCAGGTCCTCAGAAAACTGAGCTGTCACTATCGACACTACCCACGGTGTCACGGAGCCGCAGGGGAGCCGGAGCAATTTCAACACTGATCAGAGCCAGGAGAAAAGGCCTCTGTCCTGACCAAGCATGCGCCCCACTAGTCCACAAAGAGGGCAGAGTCACTGCTTGTGGGTCACGGTGAGTGGGGCAGGACAGCGCTCACAGCTCAGGGAAGGTGGTGACCCCTTGTGGCTAAACTGATGAACCACAAATCTTTGGAAATTCAAGCCTCAATCGGCACAAATTTCCTGTGTCTTCTCCACTTTGAGAATGAAAGGAATGAAATGAAGTAGACACAGGCTTTACAACTTACACCAAAATTAACTCAAAATTCCCCATAGGCATGTTCCTTAGAAAACTAAAAATAGAAATACCAATTGACCCGGGAATTCCACTCTTAGGAATTTACCCAAAGAATATAATTTCTCAGATTCAAAAAGACATATGCACCCCTATATTTGTTGCAGCACTATTTACAATAGCCAAGATATGGAAGCAACCTAAGTGTCCATCAGTAGATGAATGGATAAAGAAGGTGTGGTACATAAACACAATGTGCCACAGTCCAGCTCCAGCAGAGGGGTGTGAATCTAAAAAGGATGAGACGAAGTCAGTGAATGGAGAGACAGGACACAGTCAGATGGAGGTGGTCTCTCAACAAAGTGCTGATGACAGCTTTATTTATACCATTTTGCACAAGGATATGATTGTTTTTTATTGCTCCGTTGATTAATTGGTATAGGCAGTTTATTAATAGGTATAGGCAAGTTTTATTCTTTCCTCTTCTTTCTAATCTATTCGTGGTTGGTCAGGTGTTAGGTGATCGTTTTCTGTTCCTTGACCAAAACTTTTCCTGGCAACGTGCACTCTATTGTTTTATGTTTCTATGCTATGCAGTTTCTAGGTAGTGCATGTGACCACAGGAGCATGCAGAATATAGCAGTGACTATGGAGTCTATCAGCTCAGGGTGAAATACAGGTCTCTCACTACCACAGTTAGCTAGGCAGGTATCATCGTCTATATTGTTAATGCAAAGGGTACACTTTATCTTCTCAGAATATTTATTCTATCATAGGTAGATGCAAGATAAAGATAGAAAGCATGATTTAGAACTGTAAGAAGGCAAGTGTAGATGATCAGGTTTGTGCCTATAGACCAGGTATTAATCCAAGCCAGACAAGAGCAACAAAACATCCACAGGTGTAGACGATTTCTCTCAAAACTGGGGGGTGAGGTTCTAAGCCTCACCTCTGTTGGCCCCCATTTTCTCACCTGATGGCCCCCATGTGACTGTGCCTGTCTTAGGTTGTTCCTCCCTTGAGGAATCTTACCTGTCTCTGGCTAACCAGCCATCTTCCGGGGCCATACAGGGAGATGTAAAGCTGGTAAGTGAGAGAGAAGTAATGTTCTTTGAAAATGTTAGCTTTTCACTTCTTTGCAGATTTATGCCCCATGGCTTCTATGCCCAGCACTTGTCTTGAGGTATTCTTATCACTTGGAAGAATTATGGTACTTGGTAATTTCATGTATGAGGCACAAATTCTAGTAAAGGGCTGTAATTAGGAAGGAAGAAGAAAAACTATAGAAGTAGCAGATGGAAGAAAACATGAGATTGATTAAGTGTCAAACAGGGTTATTCCATTCAGTATTCCCCTATAACTCTATTTCTCTAATTTTCCTATAAAACTCTTCATCACTAATTTCACTAGCATTACAAAAAAGAGGGGCATTCCCACTTAGGTGGAGATGGGGTAGTCAGTGTTTGACTAGCTACCTGCAGGTTTTGGTATTCTATGCCAAGATTGCCATCTGGCCTCTGCATGTTCTATTTTTCAGAACCACTATCCTGAAAACCTTCTGTTAAGTTTATGTTCTCCTCCTTTCTGTGCTGCTTAGCAAAGGTTAGCTTAGCCCTTGGCAACAATGCAAGCAAACACAAAGCCAATAGTATAATGGAGAATAACAAAATCAAGGTGGGTAATAGAGGGAGCCAGCTGTGAAGGCCCTTGATTTGTGGGGGGTCTTTCTCCAGCCTGAGCTTTGCTACACAGCTTGAGTAGCATGGCTCCCATCAAAAATGGAATACTACTCAGCTGTAAGAAAAAAACAAATCCTACCATTTGCAATAACATGGATGGAGCTGGAAGATATTATGCTCAGTGAAATAAGCCAGGTGGAGAAAGCCAAATACCAAATGATTTCCCTCATTTGTGGAGTATAACAGCAAAGTAAAACTGAAGGACCAAAACAGAAGCAGACTCACAGACTCCAAGAAGGGACTAGCAGTTAACCAAAGGGGAGGGTGGGGGAGGGCAGGTGAGGAGGGAGGGAGAAGGGGATTGAGGGGTATTATGATTGGCACACATGATGTGGGGGATCACGGGGAAGACAGTGTAGAACAGAGAAGACAAGTAGTGCCTCTGTGGCATCTTACTACACTGATGGACAGTGACTGCAATGGGGTACAGAGGGGACTCGATAATACAGGTGAATGTAGTAACCGCAGTGATTTTTCATGTGAAACCTTCATAAGAGTGTATATCAATAATACCTTAATTTTTTTTAAAATTTTTAATGGGACACTCATTAAAAAAATTCTCCATAGGCAAATTTTTTATGCAAAATTATAAGATTTGTAGGTAAAAGCAAAATCTACACGACCTTGAAGACTTTCAACACCCAAAACCAAAGGCCTATCCACAAAAGAAAAATAATCACATGGGCTTTATAGAATTATAATTTCTACTCTAAAAGACCTTGCTCAGAGAACCCAAACACAAGACACAAACTGAAAGAAAATATTTTCAAAATACATATTTGATAAAGGATTTGTACTCAAGATATACAAAAATCCATAAAACAAAAATGAGCCATTAAAAATATTTTACAATTTAAAAAAAGGTCTCACCTTAACATCCAAGAATTACATTGCCAGTATTTAGACAACTGCTTTGAAAAACCATGCCCCAACAAAAGCCACCATGCAATTTTACACAATAGCTCTGTTCATAAAGGCTAAAAACTTAAAGAAATCAGGATGTGTTTCAGCAGATGAATGCTTTGGCAAATTGGGGTACATCCATTACATTTCACTACAACTTGTACAGTGAACTGCACAGTGATTTGCCCAGTGAAGCTGGTGCCTTGATCACTGGAGGTTACAGGTCTACCCCACATGAGAAATGGTTTCTAACAGCTTCTTTGGGATTATGAAGGCATCGGCCTTGGGCCAGCAGAAGGCTTCATTCTTCCCTGTGGGGTTGGAACGCATCGCCCTCCCAGTACACGACATGGATGCGTTCACCAACCTGGAAGCTCTCCAAAATCCATATTTTGAGACACTGGTATGATGTATTATTAACTCCATTTTTATCCCCTCCCCTTTCTCTGGAGAATGGAGGGGTGAGGCTGAAAATCTCAAGTTTCTAATCATGGCTTGAGATTTCTGCCTGTCAGACACCCAGAAGAACCCATCCAGAACCACCTACTTAGAACAAAAGATGCCACATTTACTCGGGAAATCCCCAGTGTCAGGAATGAGGCACAGACCAACATACATTTTTTCTACTGTACTTCCATGTTCATGGTGGCTAATCCCAGGGAGAGGGTTGGGAAGTCGTGTTTCCACTATCCCAGGAGAAGGAGGATTTAAAACAGAAACTAAGTTGTTATACAAAAAATATAACGTATAACGTGTGACCCCAAGATGTACAGACTGAGATTCCAAATAAAAGGCCGATTTAGCTATAGTGACAAGTATCAGCTTCCACGGCTATTTGAGGGTCTGACAGGCTGTGTCTCTAACTGTCCATTTGCAGCTCTGGGTGGGGAGTGAAGGCCCCTCCCCCAGGGTGATGGAAAGAGCCTTGTGCTCAGAGGAGAAGCCTGTCTTTTTTAAAATTCCACATTAAATAATGTGAACATTAATAAAATACTAAGAATAGACTTAAGGTGCAAATGTTGTATATTGAAAATTATAAAACATTGATAATTTAAAAACTAAGAAAGATTTAATACATGTAAAGTCTACTCATGTTGATGGAAAGACTTAAATACTGTTAAGGTGGCAATGACACAAATGCAACCTACAGAGTCAACGTGATTTCTTTGAAAATTCACAGGCTTTAATGTACCAGCTGATCCTGACACGTGGAATTTCAAGGGAACCCAAAGAGCCCTTGAAAACAATCTTGACAAAGAAAATCGAGGCTGAAGGCTCATAGCCCCCAATATCTAATCTTAGTACAAAGTAACAGTAAATAAAACACTGTGACACTGGCATAAACATACACAGTTGGCCCATGGACAGCAGGGGTGTGAACTGCCCAGGTCCACTTGAGGGGATTTTTTTCCACAAATATATAGAAAAAATGTTTAAAGGCTTAAGACGATTTGAAACATTTGCTTTTTTCTAGCTTACCTTACTGTTAGAATACAGCACAAAACATGTATCATGTACAAAATATGTGTTAATTGACTTTATATTATTGGTAAGTCTTTCAGTCAAAATAGGCAATCAGATAATACTTAAGTTTGGGGGAGTGAGATATTTTATGTGGATTCTGACTCTGTGGGATGTCAGCTACACAAAACCCCATGTTGTCAAAGGTCAACTGTATGTATAGATCAACAAAACTGAGTGGAAAGCCCAGAAGTGACCCCAACCATCTACAGTCAATTGCTTTCTAACAAGGGTGGACAACATTAAATTAGGGAAAGAATGGTCTTTTCAGCAAACGGTGCTGGGAAAATGACTGTCCACGTACGGAGGAATGAAACTGAACCCTTAACTCATGTCACATAAAAAAATTAACTCAAAACAAAGGGCTTACATAATAGGTAAAAGTATAGACTCTAGAAGAAAACGTGACAATAAACATTCATGACCTTGGATTTAGCCATGGTTTCTCAGATCTGACACCAAAGGACAAGCAACAGAAGAAAGCATAAATCATGAGTTCCCCCAAATTAAAAACTTTTCTGCATCAAAAGTCACCAACCAGAAAGTGAAAAACAGCCACAGAATGGAAGAAAATATCTCCACATTGTACATCTGACAAGAGCCTGTAACCCAGAAAACA